GGAAGTGTTCTTGAGACGGATTTTTGAGGTTTTGAATGGGATTTTGTTATCGGATTTGAGTAAATTTGGTATGGTTAGACTCGTGAGTGAATGAGCTTTTGGGTTTAGTGACTTTTGTCAGATTTCGAGACCTGAGCCCGGGGGCTGGATTTGGGCCAATTTCAGATTTTTGACTCTAATTCAGTAGTTTTCTTGTGGAATTTATTACTTTAGCCTATATTAATTGTATTGTACTACTTGTGGCTAGATTCGGGACACATGCACCGTGGGAATTATGACTTGGTCCGTCCTGTGGAATCATAAATTGGAATAACTTACTATTAGCTATATGTTTCTCTCAGTGTTATAGAAATTGGACTGAAATTCATGTTAGAAATCATGCTTAGGCTATATGAAGTCACTGTTGGGACCCGCAGAGGTTGTGTACTTACTGAATTAACTGCTATTTGTTGTCTTGTACTCAGTCATGATTTTCTTGCGTATTATACCTCCATATGTTCTTGTTCCTTGTTGATACATGTTATTATCTCTATTTAGGCTGATTTATATAATTTCTGAGAACCTGAGAGATTAGGGAGGTTGATGATTGAGTGAGGCCGAGGGCCTGAAGGTGAGGTACTGATATTGTGGTACTTGAGTTATCCGCGCGGATCCTGATATGATACCGTAGCACGTGAGTTGTCTGTGTGGATCTTGATATGATATTATAGCACGTGAGTGGTTCGTGCAACACGTGAGTTGTCCGTTCGGATTATAGCACTTGGGTTGTAGGAGCCCATCTGGAGTCTGTACACCCCCAGTAAGCGTAGGTACCTATTGATTGTGAGAACTGAGGGTCGAGAGCCGAGTGATTGAGCTGTGAAGATGAGTTGAGTGACAGTTGCCCTGGGAATCTGTACTTGCTTTCATTTGTTGTTGTTGCACTTAGTTGCTATCTGTCATTGTTGTGAAATTCTAAAAGACTTTATATTCGGTTTACTTGAACTTGAACTCATAAAACTGATTTAACTTAAACTACCAGATTTGAAAGCATGTCTATTCTTTGCTGAAATTACTGAAAATGAACTATAACTCTGTAGCTCGTCACCATCTTCAGTTCCTTATTTATTATTGTTACTTACTATGTTGGATGTACTCACGTTACTCCTTACACCTCGTGTGCAGATCCAGGTCTTTCCGGACACAGTGGACATTGATCTCGTGCGTGGTTGAGTATCGGAGACTTACGAGGTAGTTGCTAGCGTCCGCAGTCCTTGTCTTTCCTTTCTTGTTATGTTTTCTTTTTTGTATTGTCATTTTGACACAGGCTGTTGTAGGCTCTATTTTTAGACTGGTCGTTAGATGCTCATGACTTAGTGACACCCTGATGTCGGGCTATTTTTCGCACTTATGATTTGGGTTTATCCCGTTTTTATGAAAAACTTCGATTATTTTGAATGTCTTAATTTATTTCTGTTAAATGTTGAAAGTGTTTTGAAAATGTTGGCTTGCCTAATACCACGATAGGCGCCATCACGACGGGCTAGGTTTTGGATCGTGACAAATGCAAACGTGGAAGAGAGTAAAAACTAAAGATTTTTTTTTGTACTTTATATTTTGCAGACAAAGGTCTAACATATATTTGTTACTCAGTAAACGACAAAGAGAAAAAATTATGAAATTAGGATAAATTTTTTAAAAATGCTGACTTTTAAGATTTCTAGTTTGAAAATTTACAATGAGTTAATTTGTNGCCTTCATTATTGATCAATGCATAATAATTCTTTCATTATTAATCTATACTATATTAAAAGCACGAAGACCCTTAGCGAAATATCGCTTGTCTTTTTTACCCTTCAAAAATAAATTTTATATTGGACAAAATTGTAATTTTAGTTATTTTCCTAATATTTATGATAAAATTAAAATTTGGACTTTATTAGTTACGAATTTGTTACTTTGACATTCCTTTAACTTTGGTAAGTTACACAAGTTGGATAGAATTATTCTAGCAAGTTTGCCGAATAAAATTAAAACTCTCTTCAATGTATTCTAGACATAAAAGAAATCAGAATTCAATGGAAGGTATTAGAGTTTAATGGAATTCATATTTAAAGGTAACCTAATTTATTTGTTGGTAGAATTATGACTGAAATTAGAATTTTAAAGCTAATGAATTCAAAATACAGTCCCCGTTTTTGGTTTGCATGCTTTTTTCTTTAATTAGAATATATATTTGAATTTAGAACTAGATACTTTTTAAATTATGAGAACAAATAAGTGCAAAAACCTAAGTACTATTAAATTACTTACCATGTGTACGTGAAAACGAAATGGTAAAAAGAAATATAAATACATCTAATGATGATGAAAATTTTTACAAGGCATTTATTTTTTCATTATTAAGTTAACTATATATGACAATAATCAGGTACATACTTTTTTATTTTATAACTCAACAACTTAATCTTAACATTATATTTATGAATTTTTTTATATAAAAAAAGGACGCGTGTACGTATAAACTAGTTATTGCAAAATAATGATTGCATAAATAACTTTTCCATGACTAATATTTACATTGCTAATTCCTACATAATTTGTCTTGGAATCAAAATAGTCCTAAATATTTTAAAAAGGAAAAACGATTGTGAAAGCAGACAGTCCAACAAAAAAAAAAAAAGTAGTGAGGAGGAGAAATTGTGAAAGCAGACAGTGCAGATAAATAGCAGGCGTTCACCTAAAACCCTAAACCCTCTCCTAAATCGCGAGAGCAGCAGAAATGGGGAAGAAGAAGAAGAGAGCCGAACGAGAAGCTGAATCGGAACCTCTGAATACAGAAAACCTCAAAAAGCAAAATGATGCCCAGCTCGCGAATGGGGGTTCGCTGGAGGAGCAGAGGAAGAAAAAGAAGAAGAAATCGAAAGAAAGCGTGTTAAAGAAAGAAATAACCACAGTTTCCATAGCATTACCTGGCTCTATCATTGACAACACTCAATCACTCGAACTCGCCACACGGGTAACTTCCTAAAATTCATTATCGTCTTCTCTTTCTCATTGATTTTTTTTACATTAGAAATTTTTTGATACACACAACAACAACGACGATGCCTCAATCTCAAACTAGTTATGCTCTGTTGTATAAGTCATAATTATCCATTCTACTACATTTGAACCGGTTTCATACCCAATGTAGTGTCAAGCGTGTGTTTATTAGAATATGTCTATGGGGATTTAACTTAATTAGCAGCTACTCCATTCCATATGGTCCCGTTTCGGTTGTTGTGTTAGCAGGGGCGTAACTAGCCCTTTGGTATGAACCTAGTATTTTGCACGCGGAGCAAAATATATACGTGAAAACCCACTTAAATTTTAATTATTGTTAGATTTGAACCCATAATTTTGAAGATAAATGAGTTCAGTACTAAGAATCTTAAAGGCCTAACCTATCAAGTTAAAATCATTGATTTGCCTCTTGTTGTGTGTGCCTAGAAAACGTCCCTACACATTGGTTATCAACTAATACTACTAGTTTTGGTACTGCATCCCACCTTTATCGGGGTTTAGCACCGGCAATGCGAAGCTCATAGGGATGAGTTAGATGAAATAATGTTTGAGAGGAAACAAAAAGTTGGAAGTGATAAATGCATACAATACTTGATTTTTTATGCAAGTTATGAAGTGTTTATGGTTTACCATCCAAGTGTTCTAGTAGTTTTTAATTATGTTACTTGTCTTCTAATTATTTGTTATTTTTCTATCTTATATGGGCAGTTGGCCGGCCAGATTGCTCGTGCTTCCACCATTTTTCGGATAGATGAGGTGCTAATATTTGGCAAGTTATTGATTTGATCATGTGTAGATTTTGTTGAGAGAATTGGTATCGCTTTCAGTATGTGGACGTCATGTCTATATGTTTGAACATATGCATACAATACAAAATCTCTAACAGGGTTACGTGTGGTTCAAAAGTGAAATATCTTGCAACTTTGAGTGCTGAAATGAGTTGTAAGTTTTTTTCTTGCACAGGTTGTTGTATTTGACAACAAAGGTAGTTCAGTGGACGGTTCAGATCCGACTATGGAGGACGAGTCACATGATGATGAAAGTGGTGCTGCATTTCTTCTAAGGATTTTGAAGTATATGGAGACACCTCAATATCTTCGGAAGAGTCTTTTCCCCATGCATAACAATCTAAGATTTGTGGTGAGGATCACCTCTTGAATTATAAGAAAAATGTTAAAAATAGTGTGGTTTGCTTGAATTATGAAAACTAGTTTTATTATTTGAATAAGTTACTATTGTGTAATTGAATAAGTTTAATTCAGTACTAGATGGTGCTTGGTTATTACTTATTAGCTTTGAGAATTGATTTTGATATATTTACTTTTTGTACGGTAACCGAAAAAAGGTTGCGATTAACAATACTATTTTAATGATTTAAAAATAATACAATTTTGATGAGGTTTACTAATTAAGTGCACTGAAATGTCCAAACCAAACAGGCTTAAATTGAATCAATTTCGTGATTCTGAATCTTAAATTCACTATTTGTATTCAGGGTTCATTGCCGCCACTTGATGCCCCACACCATTTGCGGAAGCATGAATGGGCTCCCTATCGAGAAGGTAGCATCCTAAAGAATACTCCTATCATTTGCATGTGTGTTATGACTTGCACACTAGCAGAAGATCAAAGAACTAAAAGGACCTTGCACTCAGTCACTTATTAATTGTTAATTTTCTTCTTTGCTAAACTCTCCTATAATGAATGTGTTTCAATATTATGCTTACAAACACATTTTCCATTCCATATCTTGCAACAACTTCGAAATGTTGATAGAAGAGAATAGCAAAATACATCTTATATGTAAATGTTG